TTGCCCAGACTGGAGTGCAGTGGCGTGATCTCGGTTCACTGCAACTTCCGCTTGCTGGGTTCAAGTGATTCTCCTGCCTCAGCCTCCCTAGTAGCTGGGACTACAGGCACGCGCCACCATGCTTGGCTAATGTTTGTATTTTTAGTAGAGACTGGGTTTCACCATGTTGGCCAGGCTGGTCTTGAACTCCTGACCTCAGGTGATCTGCTTGCCTCAGCCTCTCAAAGTGCTGGGATTACAGGCATGGGCCACCGCGCCTAGCTAATTTTTGTATTTTTAGTAGAGACGGGGTTTCATTATGTTGGTCAGTCAAATCGCTCTTTTTCTTTTCTCCCAAATTTTCATTGTGTGGATGGTGTCTCCTTCCTGCATCACGTGGCAACTCAAAAAGAAAACGAAAACAAAAACAAAAAAACATCTGATTTCCTCATGCCCCATCTTTATATTCTGTCTTTCAGATGCAATGCAGACTTAACACGAGTGACTGGCAATGCTGGTCAGCATCTACATGATTGAAATGTCCTTTTACTTTCAGTTAATTTGGCAATTTTCTGATCTTCCCACAATCCCCCACCTCACCTCACCTGCCACACCACACTAACTTGTTTCTATAGCTGGCCCCTTGAGGTCAGGCAGAGCCTGTGTCTCCCATGCCTCCCGCATCATGCTTTATATACACATATTCTTCAGACGCGTTTAATGAGTCAAAAATATTTACATGAGCAAACCTAATTCCTGTCTCATTAACTAGGCTAACTGATGTTTTCCTGGTCTTCAGAGAAGTCCCTATCAGCCCAGATGGTTCCAAGGGGGTTCACCAGAAAAGCAGTTAAGCTGTCAGTGTTGTGCAGACTCTGAGCCAGTCTAATAAGTTTAGGGCTGAATTCGTGAATTCTGGAAAAATAGTTGGCTTCCTGGGGTCAGACTACCGCATTCTCAGTTCTTCCTCTGTGAATACCTTGTTCATTCCTGCCCAATCATCTTGAGGCAGCCGCCATCTTTCTTTGCTGCCTCGTAAGAGGGAACATGGACTCTTGCTCCTGAGTTCCCCAAACCTGGTTGGGGAAGATCACTGAGGACCAGAGCTGGCTCCATTTAATGATGAGTTTGTTGTTTAGAACAATGGACACCCTGTAGACTGCCTTGTCTGTGTGTGTAATAAGTAGACCGTAGACCTGGACAGCTGACCTCAGCAGGCATTGTCTTTCCCAGAAATGAAAGGGGTTTTGATTCCTTCCTTCCAGGAGAAATGGCACAGTTCCCAGAACATTGTAAACACCTGATAAAATTCACTGACTGATTCTCTAAGGACCGATGACTTTCAGGCTAAAAATGATTGGCGGGTTTGCACTCACTTGATCCTGCCTTTCTCTCAGACATGGTCACTGAGCCTTTCACCAGTGCTTCCCCAACTCACTGACAAAGACTCAGACCCCGCAACATCTCTTTGTCACCCACAGGACCTAACAGTGCTTTGCATCCGGGAGATGCTAGCAGTGAATCTTTCCATTGTGCCTACTAAGTAAGTGCCAGGCATAATTCTCAGATTATAATTATCTTCACATATACTAACACACTTAGTCCTCACAGCTCTTAAAATAGGAAGGAGGGCCAGGCGGGGTGGCTCAAACCTATAATCCCAGCACTTTGGGAGGCTGAGGCGGGGCGATCACCTGAGGTCAGGAGTTCAAGGCCAGCCTGGCCAACATGGCGAAATCCCATTTCTACTAAAAATACAAAAATTAGCTGGACGTGGTGGCAGGCACCTGTAATCCTAGCTACTCAGGAGGTCTGAGGCAGGAGAATCATGTGAACCTGGTAGGTAGAGGTTGTGGTGAGCCGAGGTCGCGCCACTGCACTCCAGCCTGGGTGACAGAGCGAGACTCTGTCTCAGAAAAAA